AGTTACACATTCCTACTATCACTTTAGACTCACTGTCTCTAGTCATGTCTGCAGTTTCCTTCCTACCCCATTCATACACATCCCAGATCCTTCTCCAGTCCTTCTCAGATAGCAAATCTCCTGTCCTCTTCATTCTTAGATCAAAAATCACTTTTTATTTCATAATTTTTCTCTAAATCTATTTTCCCACACCCTCCACCTCCAGATTGTATTTGTGTTTTCTGAAGTTCACCCATCATAGTCGTCATTTGATAAAAAAAATAAAACAAAAGTTGACCCTACCCTTTCTTTCATAGGATTTGAGGAATAAAATATAGGATGTATATTAGCCATATGCCAGCAGAGGTGTATCAAATGTACTGGAGAACGAACACCCCCAATCTGCCACAGAGATTATCACCTCACACCATTAAAGGGACTCTCTGCTCTTTAATGCCGAGCAATAGATTTTTTTTGTTCCATAACCCTGAGTTAATTCAATAATCAAACTGCAAAATGTAGGCAAAAAGTGCTCGTTTGGGGCTAGAGAACCTGCACAGCAATTACCATACTGCACCTATCAATAGCTCTTCATAGAGGTGCATTAGATGAATTAATTTCAAAAGTCAGAAAGGACATGAATAAAACCGCTGCATGAGGTAAGAGGTCCAGTGTTTTTTGAGAATGGCGCTAGTAAAACGGTGTTTTAAAGACTGACTCAAGCTTGGTTGCTGCTTGTCTGTAATTACGAGCATTAGAAAGCAGAGGAAGGGTATCTTTTTTGCACCATAACAAATGAAAAGGTAAAGGTTGTTAAGGTGCATGAAGTGTCTGTTTAAATAAAAGTTTGTCTATAACATACATTTGTCACTTTGCCTTGTCTGTATTTTAAGTATGTGTAACCTTGATTGAATGGTATTGCCTGTTAACATTTGTGATTTGACGTGTTAATTTCAAATGTACATATTCTCCAAAGACTCCAGAGTCTCCTAAAAGTGATATTACCTCAGCAAGTAATGGTGGGTCATCAATAGACATCCCTAACCATCTGGCTAAGCCAAACCTAAAGAATCAAATAAAAAAAGACATTAGGAAAGAACTTAAAATTAAAGAAGGTGCCAGAAACCTTCACAAGGTTGTCTCATTGCAAAAACATCTGGCACGTGTGAACAAGTACCTTTAAAGCATCACAAAAGGGTATGGATGAGAGGGGCCGGGGCCGGACCGCCATGCAGACAAGTCGCATGTCTGAGCAGCTCCTGAGGGCTTTAGCTTAAAGAGCTGAATTTCGGCAGAGCCTGTACCAACTCGGAGCCCAGGAGCAAAAATCTGCTACTTGACTGACAGCTGGTGCTGGTGCCGGGCCCAGATCCGGGAATACTAAAGCCTGAAACAAACGATCCAGATTCCGGAAATTGAGGCCTAGTCGAGCGAGGAGCTGGGTGGACGGCCGCCTCCTTGCTTCCTTGTTCACTGCCCCACACTGGCTCTCCCATGGAGCAACTGACTGGTCCCCCCCCCCTCTGGACCGGTGGGGGTCATCCCGGTCCCCGCCAGCACACTTCTCTGCCGGACCTGCTAAACCACAAAGGCGATCAGCACCGACCGCTAAACACACCTAAGATGGCGGCACCTCATGTTCCTGAACAACACACAGCACAAAGGTCTTTCTGCTGCCTTAAAGAGAGCCCTGCACACGCCTCTGGAGAGAGCTGGGAGATAGAAACATGCAGCTCGACTTACCAATCGCCGACCCGGCACTTCTACATCCTGAAAGGTACCTGCGTCCATGCCCCTAAATCAGCCATCATCGGCCTGAGCAGCGAAACGTGAAGGGAGAGATCCCAGAAGACAACCCACTGGCTCTGCTCTGGGGAGTAACCACGAGGCCCCAAAATCTGGCGTGTTGCTCCCTGAGCATATCTGGGGATGGGAGTGTGAAAATGGGGAATCCCAACGTGCCACAATCAGCATCTCTTCGGGCCTGGGTCAGGAGAACTCTCACAGCCCACTCAGCACACCCAGTCTGGGCTTAGGCTGAACTCTTTTATTTTTTATTTTTTTTCTCTTCGGTTTCAAACGCCCAAGACCACATTAAGTTACTCAGCTCCCAGCAGCCTCCATACTGTTTACTCTTGTTTATTACTAATGTTTTTTTGTTTGTTTTTTTAACGTGTGTGATCTTGCTGGTTTATGATTTGATCGCCTAGTCTTAATTCCAACATGTCTATCATGCAGGCCTAGCATATATTTCACTATAAAGATGTGCTGGCGGTATTTCTAACCAGGCCACTGGTAATCATACAGCATCTCTCAAAGTCTCTTGTAACTTCCTCACAGTGGCCCTAGTATCAGCAGTAACATACCTTAGTTTAGTATATTGACAACTGATTAGACTTCATGACATGCATAATACAAGCTTGCAATTATCTCTACTCAATGTTTTTTGTGCATGTCAAGGTTTTTCACCTTTTGAATGTTTATATAAAAAAAAAAGTGCAAGTTTTTAAACATGACTTGTTGTATACCTGCAATATACTTTGTCATATTACTTATCAATGTCATGTCACTACCTGCTTATGTTTCTTTCTATGCACTACTAAAATAAAGATTTATAAAAAATAAAAAAAAGGGTATGGATGAGCTCCACAACAAACTCCAAGCGCTAAATGCACAAATTATTCTGTAAGAATCAGGTACATTAAGAGACCTTGTTTTTTATAGTGTGTTCAATAGCATGAGTTTATGTATGTGTGTTTATTGATAAATATATCGAGAGGGAGAGAGAGAGAGAAATATTCCAAATTCGTCAACCCAAACTACTTTTAGTGCTTTGCCCAAGCATTGCATTTTAAATATAAACAGCATTAAATTATATTAAATGATAATCCGGGTATATATTTCTTTAGAATGGCAGCCTATTACTTGCTGCTCGGTTATTGCACTTATGTGACGTGCTTTATGAGAAAGATCTAGGCTCGCTACAGAAAAGATCAGTAACCATCATCAGATCAAACAACATTATTCATAGTAAAAATATTTTTTTTTTAAAAACTAATCTCTCCAGTGACACTGTACCTGCATAAAGCTCTGCTTAGTTCTTCCAAAAACTGAAATTGGCGCAGTATGTACGCTACAATTAGCATAAACATACACTCAAGATTGGAGTTGACACAGTTATTAGATTATTATACATATGCATGGATTTTTTTACAACCCTCTTTAAAGGTGATAGTAAGTTGGGGATCAGGGTGTCCCTCTCTGATTCAACAATTCAGGAGCATGTGTCTTCTTTAAATCAAGATAGATAATAAAAACTATATTTTTTTTTTTTTTTTGGAGTTCACCAATAGTTCTCTTCACAGAATAATTGAAAGCACCAACTTTTTTTCTTGATCAGCCGCGAAGCACTTTTAAAATTCTAAGTTTGTTGTGTCTAGAGCCGTTTCATTTCAGCTGCAGCAAAACAGCTAATTTGGTTTGATCTATAAAGGCTCTCGCACTGTGAAAGTGGAATTAAGGAAACGGAATTCATACCATCGTTCCTGTATGTTATGCAGATGTACTGATTGATACTTACAGAAAAACATAGTTTAATCTTTGGGTAAAAATCAATGCTTATGGGACAAAAACAGAACCTAGCATAATTGTATACTGGGTTAATTACTTTAAATTAGAAAAATACAATTCTGTAATGAAGTTTGCAGTACTTCTTACATATTTATCCACCTGGTTCTAATCCCTTTTGAACCGGAAACATCTTGTTTTTGCACAGTCACACTTCAAGAAAGTGAGAAAAAAATAGAATATTTACACAAGCTAATTCTGCGGGAGGAGCCTATTGATAAAGGTAAAGATTAATTGATAAAAAACAGAAAATATAATTCCTATTATTATATTCAGTGCTTCATGAAGCAATATTAACAAAGAAAGAAAACAGTCATAATGCAAACAGAATAATAAAAACAAAACAATATATTTATTAGTTAAACTCACATCTAAGAGAGTCATGGGCAACCTCTTTTATATAACAGAATCCAAATTTACTTACAACAAAAATACATGAAGAGGAATAAAAAAACATTACAAATAGCGGATATGTTTGAAATACAATTTCCCAAAAAGAATACATTGGAACTGATACAAAAACATACTATATGTGTTTCACATAAGGACAAGCATGCCATACCACACATATGCTTCTCCTGAAGAAAGTTCTGGGTTTCTTTTGATATAATCAAGTAAGGATTTTTTTTTTATTTCTGGCATTTGCAATTTTTAAATATATATATATATATATCTAAAAGAATGTATTTGTTCACATTGAATAGTACACTTTTTTGAGATACATATATCGGTTTACACCCGCACTGTTTTTCTGAGCACTTTATTGAGATTGGTACTATATCAAAGATACAGATCTCTATGCACGTTATGCAAGCTTGAAATATGCACTTTATTATTTTATGATTCTAAGAAAAGGGCAAATGAAAATCCCAATAGTGCCAAGGCTCAAGAACAGTTTTGCAGAGTTTACAGTATTCTGAATAAGATCCCTACTCAGATATGTCAGCACTTAATCTAACAGGTGAAGGACCTCTCTATAGACACAGAGTTTCAGCTGAAAGGTGTTGTTGAACTCACATTTAAAAAGGTTATAGTAGACCCACATTTCGCAGTTATATATGCCAACATGTCCAACTGGCTTATGATGATTGGAGTCCCAACAAAAGTAAATCCTAAAGTCTGCATTACATCCCACAGGCTGCGACTAAGGCTCTGTTAGTAGGAGCTTGATGGTGAAGGAATTCAAAAACTGCAGAAGGATCTGGATCCAGCTAAATCACCTAAAGAAAATATTCCAATAAAGGTTGAATTGAGTGATGCCTGTGATAAAACACACAGTCGATCCATAAGGAACATCAATTATTTTGGGGAGCTATTTAAATTACAGTTGCTCTCAGAAGACATAATGAATGACTGTCTGTATTAAATTACTTAACAGGAACAGTGAGGAGACCATGGAGTGCATCTGCCTTTTACTCACATCAGTTGAAAAATACCTGGAAAATGGAAAGTCTCGCATGGACGACTATTTCAGCAACATTGATATACTTATTAAAAACGGGAAAACATCTTCTCGGATTAGATTTATCGTTAAGGATGTGCTGGATTTGAGGAGAAATAACTGGGTACCTCAACATAAGAATAATCAGCCTGAAGCACATGTAAACCTGAGCATTGACCCCGAAGAGCAGTCATTACGAGAAACAGAAGACAATGAAAAAGAACCACATAATGAGACTGATATATTTCCAAAGCAAATCACAGAAAGCTAAAACCTTATACTATCTGTACTCCAAGAGGAGCCAAATATCAACGCAAAAGTAAAAAGGATATACTATGACAGGGATTTTTTACTCCAATTCAAATCTATCACATGGCAGCCAAAGGACTTATTTAAAATCTCTAGAAACTAACAAGGTACATTTTAAGGATAAATAACTAGAAACCTCGAAATAAGAATATTCAGCCTGGACCACATGTAAGCCTGAGCTGTGACCATGAAGAGCAGATTTTGCCAGAAACAGAAGACAAAGAAAAAGAACCACCAAATGAGACTGCTATAATTCTAAAGCAAATCACAGAAGGCACTTGCACTACCTGCACTCCAAGAGGAGACAAATATCAAAGCAAAAGTAAAAAGGATATGCTATGACAGGGATTTTTTACTCCAATTCCAATCTATCACATGGCAGCCAAAGGACTTCTCTAAAATCTACCAAGGTATGATTATTAGAACTCTCATTTGGCCAGTGCATCCATCATGATTGACCAGCAGGAACTGTGTACATCAATCTGAAAATTTCTGCAACCTTGCTAAGGGTAATCACAGACTGCCACCTGGAATGGGTCACATGAGGTCTCAGAAACTCCTGCTAAAGAACCTCGCAGAATAATTTAATTAAATGAGAATGTTAAACAGCAAAAACCTGAAAAAGCTTGGAAACCTCCTATGAAAAGGGTAATGTAGATCCCAATAGTGTGAAGGCTAAAGAACTGTTTCGCAGAGTTTACAGTATTTTGAATGAGATCACTACTCAGACATTTCAGCACTTAAACAGGTAAAGGACCTCTATCGACACAGTGTCTCAGCTTTAAGGTTTTGTCGAACTCACATTTGAAACAGCAATAGCAGACATATATTTCGCAGTTATATATGCCAACATGTCTAATGACTGGCTAATGACTCTTTAAGTCCCAACAGAAGCCTCTTGAAGTCTGCGTTATGTGCTGCAGGTTGCTACTAAGACTCTCCCAGTAAGAGTTTGAGACAGGTGAAATAGGGGTGAAGGAATGCCAAAACTGCAGAAGGACCTGTATACAGCTACATCACCACAGGCAATCCCTAGGAAACATCAGTTATTTTGGTCTCAGAAGACATCATGAATTACTGTGTTAATTAATTACTTAACAGGAACAGTGAGGAGTCCATGGAGTGCATTTACCTTTTACTCACATCAGTTGCAAAATACCTGGAAAATGGACAGTCTCACATGAACGACTATTTCAGCAACATTGATATACTTATTGAAAACAGGAAAACATCTTCTCGGATTAGATTTATCGTTAAGGATGTGCTGCATTTGAGGAGAAATAACTGGGTATGTCGACATAAACTCCAGGGTCCAAAAACAATAGATCAGATCCACAAAGAGGCAGAACCAGATGAAAAGTGTAGTGAACCAAAAAGAAAAAACTGATTTTGTTTTTGGTGATAATTACAATGCAATTTCAGTTACAATCAAACACTACTCATTCCATGGATATACACAATGAGAGATAAGCCTGTTGATTAATTCATGTACATATATTCATACTCATTCAGACAGTGACTGTCATGATCACCAGGGGAACCTAAGCACGCAGGCAGGACACAACACATAGAATTGCAATACCGGTCCTTAGAATGGCCGGGCTATGCAAAAAGGGATAGTCAAAGTACAAGTCAGGTTCAAAGGGAAACAGAGAGACAGAGTAAACGTAAGACAAGTCAAAGTTCAGTAACCAAATAAGCAGACAGAGTATAACGTGCTATTGGGCTAAACACAGGGCACTGAGGCAAGGAGGAGGTTAGCTTATATACACATAGGGCATGTCTGATTGGCTAACCTCCAATTAGTGTTAACCACAACATGTGGGAGGTGTTTATTCCTTCCCTTGTGGTCTTCGAGGTCATCACTGTGTGCCGGGTCACATGACCGGGTCTGGCACACATAAGGATGCTGCTCTGGAGTGTGCAGCGTCAGAAGCACCATCAGTCACTCTGGAGCATGGCGGCAGGGACAGCCGCACGCCGCGGACAGGGACCAGATGGTACCACTCACGGTCACGAGGTAAGCAAGGCTGCCGCAAAAGTGGCACGGAGGCAGGGGACCTGATAGTGACACCCAGACACATTCATACTGTGAGACATGACTATAGACAGACTTCTGCACAGAGAGATACACACATAGTGTTTGTTTACTCCACTGTGGATGTACGGGTTTTGGTTGCTAATTATGGATGTGTAAGATTTTGACTAGTCTAGAAGTCTAGGTCCAGGTTGTGATGAGCAGTGCAGAATGTGATTGCAATTGGCGCTTTTGACCATTGGATGAGTTTACAAGTGACATGGGTGAGATACATTAATTGTGTATATCATAGGTATCAATGCCCATTGAAATATAGCACCCTTGCATTCTGATGGTTGGTTCAAGCCTGCCCAAGAGGGGTAATCACTTGCCTTTTGAAAAACTGGTTCTAAACATGCGAGCCAGAAGAGAGTAAATGCATTTTAGTATTGTCCCAGGATCCCATCCTCTTAACTGCCATAACGTTGACTGGTCCTCAATGTTATGTTGAGAACCAGTTAACGCTAGTAGTTGCTGTCAATGTACATTAAAGTAGCAAAGGCCAATACAGCTAAATCATTACAATCGCTCAGAAAAGGTAAAAATGTGTTTTAAGACTGAGGGAAGTTTGGCTGCTGCTTGTCTGTAATAACTGTAATTACAAGCATTAGAAAGATAAAAGCAGAGGAAGGGTATCTTTTTGCACCATAACAAAATGAAAAGGTAAAGGTCGTTAAGGTGCATGAAGTGCCTGTTTTAAATAAAAGTCTGTCTATAACATGCATCTGTCACTTTGCCTTGCCTGTATTGTAAGTATGTGTAACCTTGATTGAATGGTATTGCCTGTCAACATTTGTGATTTGACTTCTGTCTTAATTTCAAATTTACAGATTATCCAAAGACTTCAGAGTCTCCTAAAAGTTATATTACATCAGCAAGTAATGATGGATCCCTAACCACCTGGCTAAGCCGAACATAAAGAAGCAGATCAAAAATGACATCAGGAAGGAACTTAAAATGAAAGAAGCTGTCAGAAACCTTTGCAAGGTTGTCCCATTGCAAAAACATCTGCACGTGTGAACAAGTACCTTAAAGCATCACAAAAGAATATGGATGAGCTCTAAGACAAGCTCCAAGAGCTAAATGTGCAAATGATTCTGCAAGAATCAGATACATTAGATCGTTTTTGTGTTGCATTTCATAGCATGAGTTTATGTATGTGTGTGTTTGTTGAGAGAGATATATATATATATATATAGAGAGAGAGAGAGAGAAAAAAAATATTCTAAGTTGATCAACCCCAACTACTTTTAGTGTTTTGCCCGAGCATTGCATTTTAAATATAAACAGCATTAAATTATATTAACTCCTTAAGGACGGCGGGCAATCTATGCCGTCATTAGGAAACTGGCTCTAAACGCCGGAAGGCGGCATAGAACGTACCAGCCGTTCTATGTATTTACCCAGGGAGTTCCCCCCTGTCCTCTTTGGCCCCCCTGGGCCATGTGATCACGAGGTCCTTGCGAGGATCTCACGATCACATGGACAGCATAGCAGTTCAAGGCATTGCCAGCAGGGGGAGTGCCTGTAATGACAGGTACTCCCCTTGCTGTCTGTAACAAAAATAATAAATGTTTAAAACAGTGTAAAATTATATTTTTTTATATTTTTATATATATGATCTAAGTATTAAATATTACTTAAGTTTTAAATATGTTTTATATATATGATCTAAGTATATATACACATACACTGTCTGAGTGTATTTTAATATTAATATATATAGTTATATATATATATCAAAGAACACGTACAATGATATTGATTAAATATATATATATATATATATATAAAATAAATATGTAAATACGTTAAAAAAAATAATTCAAAAAAATATATACGTGTGTGTAATTTCGTTCTAACGGTATTTTAAAATTAACACCTTAACGACGCTCAACGGAAATTTTCCGTCAAGGCAGACCTACCCTTAAGAACGCTTGATGGAAAATGTCCGTCAATTACTAAAGTTAACGCCAGATCGCGGCGATCGTGGTGTTAACGCTGTTGCTGGGTGCCTCGGTATTAAAAAATGTTCCGAAAACAAAACAAAAAAGTATAAAAAAAGTTAAAAAACAAAACAAAAATTTGTTATTTAGTTAAAGTTAATTTTAACCTTTCACCATTCTTAGAAGGTTTAGTGCCGAGGAGGCATATAATATATTAGCAGCCGACTCAGAGGCAACCGACACTGCCTCAAAGAGTGCAGAGGGTGACTATGTGCCAGACACAGATGAAGAAAGTGACGATACCCCTGGCACTGCTCCTGGCGCTGATAACTGGGTTCCCCCTAACAATTTTGTCCCCAACATCCCTCTGTTCACTGCGACTCCTGGTATTCAGGGAGACGTGACCAGCTATAGCTCCCAGGATTTTATGGAGCTGTTCCTTGGGGATGATTTTTTAGGGCAGATAGTTACACAGACAAATATTTATGCAGCGCAGTATGTGGCACAAAATGCAGCAAGTCACCTTGCCACAAAAGGGAGCTTGTACCCCACCAGTGTGCCAGACTTAAAACAGTTCTGGGCACTAACCATGCTAATGGGAATTATAAAAAAAGCCCAGCATCCGAATGTACTGGTCCAAAAACCCAGAATGCAATACTCCCATTTTCTCTCAGACCATGTGTAGGCTCAGATAAGAATCAGTACTGCGTTTTCTGCACTTCAATGATAATTTGAAGTGCCACCCCAAAGATCTGTACTATGACAAACTTTATAAAAGCAATACATCCCGGTATGGCATCAAGCTATACAAGTTATGTGAAAGTAGCAGTGGGTATGTTTATACCTTCAGAGTACATGAAGGTAAAGACAGCCACCGGGATCCCCCAGCTTGCCCTGATGTAGTTGGGACTAGCGGAAAAATAGTTTGGGATCTAATGA